TGGTTTTGATTACAATTTTTTCACAAACTGTTGATTTTGAAATATATTATTTTTTGAAAAAAATATTATGTTGGTTATGCACATTAAAAAAACGATTTTTAAGGTATTTAAAAAATGATTTTTGTTTGAATTTAAGCTGTTTATGCAAAAATTTTGAATATACAAAATTTTTGTGTAATTCTCATACTCTTGAAATTATTTTCATGAACGATCAAACTTCGACCCGGATGACGATCGATAAAAAACAACATCCGTTCAGATATTCACTGTTCGGTTCCTGCTTCTCTCCTTTCATACAGGCATGGACTATTTATTCGTAGAAGTATTTAAAATAAAAGCAAAATATATGATTGTATTTTTCTAAGAGTGTATAGAATGTATGAGTGAAAATAATATTAATTATTTTGTTTTTTTCTTTAATTTTTATATTATCCTTTTAATTAAATAAATGTTCGTTACGAAAGTAAATGCGGACCACATCTCAGAGCACTTGCTAAAAGTTAAATCTGTTTGTTCAGCTTTCTGAAGCACAGGAATTTCTTTTTTCATTTCAAAGTTTAATTAAAATATTTCTTGTTGTTTGAAAGCTGACGTTGCAGTGGTTTTTCAATTTGAAACCACTGTTTGGAGTTTTAATAAAAACTTCAATCAAGAGGACATGTATTCAATTACATAACAACACAGATGCAAGCACAATCACACACATACATACACGCCTACACACTCCTTTACAAACACAAACATTCATACATGCATAATTGCACATAAACACACATAAATACATACACACACACAGAAACCACGAACTTCCTCCACTATTAGAACGATCAATCATCCAGCATCTTGAAACGATCGTCCTGCTAACATTTTCAGAGCAGTCTCACCTACAGGATATCTTCCTGCTATCTGTTAAGTGTTTCTGCGAATGATTGAATGAATGAATGACTGACTGAATTAATGGAGAAATGAATAAACAATTGAGTGAATGAATGAGTGGATGAATGTGTGAATGAATGAATGAACGAACGAACGAACGATTGAATGAATGAATGAATGAATGAATGAATGAATGAATGAATGAATGAATGAATGAATGAATGAATGAATGAATGAATGAATGAATGAATGAATGAATGAATGAATGAATGAATGAATGAATGAATGAACGTAAACTCGCTCATGGAATCAAACAGGTTCTATACACACACACACACACCCATTCATTTTTTGCTATTGTAAATATGCCAGAAATATCTGCTTACGGTATTTTAATGTTACTTTTTAGTTTAATACTTATCTGGTTACTATGAACAGGGTTAAATGTCATCGCGTACTTACATATCTAAAAAAAATTTTTTTTTATAATTTCAAGAATGTTTGAACAATAAAAATTTGTAAAAGCAGAACAAACACAATTTTAAATTATTTATTTCAACGTCGCAAATATATTATTATATCAATTTTAAATTTTCTGAATTTTAAGTTCAGAAGCCAAGAAAGTTATTTCCAGAAAAATAGTTATTGAGAAAATTTTAATAACTTTGACAAATAAGGAAAGACAAAGCTCTATTTGTTTTCTGCTTTTAAAATATGAAAAGTTGTTTAAAATTTAAAATACGCTTTATTAATAAAATGTATAATTTAAAATTTTCGGATATTTAATTAACTTATTTGTTTCCTGAATATAAAATAAATAATATTTTTCTTCAAGTGAGATCCGATCATACGTTTGTAACTTCGTACTTGCAAAAAGTAAATAACTCACCAACAAAAAATTTAAAATTTATTATTTTTAATCAAAATATATTTTATAAAAAAAACATTATGTATAAATAAAAAATTATTCCTATAAATAAGAATGAATAAACTATTTTCTGTTGGTGGGAGAGGTTTTTCTCTTGGTTAACTTACTGCCGTACGATAGATGTTAATACCTTATAATGTGCCAATAACTTTTAAAGACAGTTTTTTATTTTGACTCAATTTTAATTAGTTAACGAAAACAAAATCATTCGTTTAGGCTTAATTTATTATTTTTATTCAAAAGTCGTAATTGAAATTTTTGATAAAGGATTATTTTGATTAAAGAGTGCTTGAATGCGGGTGGGTTGCCCAACCAATGTCTTTCTTGCGACACCACCGGTTAAAAGTAGATTCAGAATTTCACCGTTGTAAATTAAGGAAAATCAATAATAATTGAAATATTTGGACATTTGAAAAAAAAATAGGTAGCCACTGTTTTTCTTTGCCATTATAGTTCATATTATTTGTTTCACTAGAGAGAAGACATTATTATCCAGTTTGTCATTTAAAGGTTTATTTAGAAAAGCATTAAATTAATATCCATATCATGCAAAGTAAACATTAAAAAATATTAATAACTTTCATTTTACTTATATATTCATTCATACAAATTTTAGGAGTCTCTTAATTCTTTTATATAATAAACCTTTGAAAACAGACGAGTTGGTATAATTAGTTCAACCTTGATTCGCCTTAAGCAGCTATCAAAAGTGGCACACAGAGCTTGCCTTACAAAACCAATGATAGACCGATGATGAACAAGTAAAGTCTCTCCCAGGAAATTACTGCTTCCCGCTGCTTAAAAACCTTAAAAAATTATTTCCTGATAATGTCGCTTCTTTGCTCCATAAAATTTTAATCGAGTTTGATAACAATGATTAGAAACAATTTAGCTGAACGATGTGCAGCTTTTTGTTGCAGTGTCAAAATATATTTTATAAACAACATAGCAAACAAAATGTTTAGATGTTAACCAAATTGAAGTGTTAGTGTTGAAATAAGATGTGAAAATTTCATTGAAAATTTGGTTTTAACAATTAATGTTATTGCTGCCTATAAACTGCATTAACTGAATCAACAAACATTCCAATTTTTAGCCTCCAAACACAAAAAACACATGCACACATTTCTATTTTCCTAAATTATAAGAACGACATCACGTGATATGTAAACAATCGAATATATGACCCTAACCCAACCTTCTGCATCTAAACGTAATGTAAACAGAGTTCTTCTCGTTGAGTTTGTAAGTGGAAGAAAATAAATTAATGATCTGGCAAGTCCAAACAATTCCTTGGAAGGCACACACACACATACGCACATCAACACTCAGTCACATAGATTAACATTAATTTTTAAAACAGACTATATAAACAAATAAATCACTACCGTAGATTCATATGAAGAAATTTAGAAAAATGAACAAGGTTTTGTTCAATCAATTTGTTTTATTTTAACCTTTACAAGCCCGCTATACCTTCCCGACTAAGTAACTTAATGAAATTTGGAACACTCATTCAGAATGTTATTGTAAATGAATTTACAAAATTTCATAAAATTATCTCTTAAAGGTGATGAGATATATATGTGTTCCAAATATGGAACGTTAGGCTATTCTGGTTATAAAATGCTATATACATTTGTATTATATGGTTTTAAATTATTTGAAAATACCTTACGAGTTTTTGATTGTTTGTGATAAAACTAATAAATAATCAGCTGAAAAATAGTTATATTTCATTATTTATCTAATGTACACATCACCAATGACTAAAGTGCATAAGTAAAATCACAAAGTTCATGTATCCACCATGCATACAGTTCGCATCACTTCTGATGGTAGGCAACAAAACAGCGTTCATGTAAACGTTTGTTGCACTTTTCACACTGTTTTGTTGTGTTGCTTTTGCAGTAGGTGCAACGACCTTGTTTCACACTCTCCAAATAATGACTTGAACCGTCAAAACGCCATAGTCTGGAATTGGGGCTGTGTGACCTCCGAGGCGTTGTCTCTGATCTGAACACCAAGTAACAGACCGTGAACTACTTCTCGCAGAAATTGCAGATGTGAAAAACTATCTCCAACAGCGCACAGCTTACAATGCATACGCCACGAAGCAAAAACCGCAATATTGACTGCATTTAGAAATAGGTTCCACCACCACTTTTTCCCTTTTATTCGTGGTCGGTAGGCAGACAAGAGCCGATCAAGCATATCTACACCTCCCATACCAGCTGTGTAATTGGCAATCATAAGCGGTTGAGAAACTGGCTTTTTCACGTGAACCTTTTACATGTCGCTGCACTTTCTTGACTGGCTCAACACTTTCATAATTGCTTGCACAAGTGACAACACTATTATCACTCCAGCGTACCACTACGACACTGCCATCACCAGTAAATTCAAACTTGCTCTGTCGTTTTTCGGAAAGTTATTTTTGGCAGATAGCGGTGCATCGCCGTGTCGTCCTTCACGCATGGTTCCTGTTGCTTTGACTCCCAATTCTCGCAATTTTAGTAGAAGGTGAGGCGATGTAAAAAAGTTGTCAAAAAAAACATGACGTGAATCTTTGTTCTTCAGATGAGACATTAAACTTAAAACAACATGTTCCCCAAGACCAACTTCCTTTGGACGATCTGACCGACCGCAATAAATAATAGACTGCATTACAAAATTAGTCATATAAAATGTTAGTTACATTAACCTAATAAGCCTAACGTTCCAATAATGGAACATGCCAACATAAAACTTTATTACTCATGTGTAAATAATAGTCTAGTAAATCTTTTAACTTCTACATAAACTAGACTCTATACTGATAATATACTATAGCACTTACTTGAATATTGATTTTTTTTATGTGGTGAAAATTATCACAAGATCACACTACTCAATTTTACTGAAATCACCAAACTTTTAAAACAGATAAGTGAGCGATAAAATGTTTGCAAACACAAAAGATTAATTGAATATGAAAATTTATTCATTGATCTTAAAAACAGTCCATAAATTACTGCTAATTTCATAAGAAAGAAAATTATATTTAGATATAAAAACATGTTCCAAAAATGGAACGTTAGGCTGTTAAAGGTTAATATATTGTTTAGTTATAACACTTAGATGATTGTTTAATTATCAAAATAGAAGCAAAAATCGGTTTTTCAAAAAATCTGTATTCAAAAGAGGTGTTTTCATATTAGCGTTTTGTTATGACCAGACCATAGCTTTGTTTTAGGATCAACAACCGTATTATTATGTTAGCCAGTATACTCTTACAAAATCCTTGCAACCTCAACGACCTAACGCAAGTCCCATAAAATTCGATACCAATAGATCCAAGGGCGGATCCAGGAAGTTTGACTGGGGGGGGCGAAAATTTTTAAATAAATATTTTGTAATGTTGAATATATCCATTTTTGATTATAAATTTTAGAATGTAAATTAATTGAATAATATAATGTTTTATGTTTACTTTGATTTATTTATAATTTTTATTACAAATGATCAAAGGAAAATTATGAACGCACCCACGCGGCAAAATACACTTGAAAATTTTTTGAACGCTTCTTCCGTCTGATTTTCATTTTAAAAATTCAAATTTGAGTTGCGCTAGTAATAGTACTGTATAAGTATCATAATTCATAATCATATTTTCAGTTTTTTTTAGAAGATTAATTTAAATATATATGGATCGTTTTGTGAAGCAAACTAAAAGGGCACATCCACCAGGTTAGATCACCATACGATATGAATTTGTTCACTAGTAGCATAGAAATTGTTAAATAAGTGTTCAGAGTTAAGTTAAATTTAGTTTATTTTTTTAGAACTACATGAAGGCGATAGTTCCGATAATCATAATGAAAAAGTGATTGTTAAAAATGATGAATCATTTGAGCAAGTAGCTTTGCACGATAATGACGAAGATAACAAGATAAAGAATAATGAAAAAGTCTATAAACAAATGGATTTTGTACATAATAATGATATTGGACTGTATGTGGGCAGCAGTAATAAAACAATTAATGATGATATAAAATTTGAACTTCTACAAAATCCATGGAAACCAGAATTTGGCTACAAATTTCCGTGTTCAAATCATATTAAAAATGGTAAAAATGAAAAACGGTACATTTTGAAAAGTCACTTGGAAACATTTAATGCATGGTTGACATACTCGCATGTGGAACAAGGTTTATTTTGCAGGTATTGTGCTCTAATGGCTGACACCGGCGGTATTAGTCATCAAACGCCATTGCAAAAATTAGTAAAAAAACCACTTACATCATTTGCAAAATTATTAGGCAAAGATGGTGATCTCAGCTGTCATGAACAATACAGGTATCACAAAGAGTCAGTTCAGAGGGGCAATGATTTTGTCAAATCATACCAAAATTCATCATTTGAAGTTGTTAATCAACTCTATTCCGCAAGATATCAGCAAATGAAGGAAAACAGGAAAGATTGAAGCCCATAATTAAATCTATTATTTTTTTGGGAAAACAAAATATTCCTCTACGAGGACATCGAGATGACGGAAAACTTAATATAAGTACTAATGATGCAGGCGATGCTGATAATGATGATGATGAAGATGATGAAAATTTGGACAATGACATGCTTAATGAAGGGGTATATGGTACCGGTCCAGTTAGAAATGAGGGTAATTTCAGAGAACTACTTCAGTTTAGGGTCGATGCTGGAGACCATGTTCTTGAAGAACATTTAAAATCATCTAAATCAAATGCGACATACATAAGCAAAACGATTCAAAATGAAATCATAACCACAATTGGCGATATTATTACAGATACTATTGTACAGAGAGTTAAAGCAGCCAAATTTTATTCAGTTTTATTTGATGAAACAACTGATATATATGGTATTGAGCAATTGTCTTTGAGCTTACGATATGTTTACAACGGCCAGGTTAGAGAAGATTTTGTTGCATTTGTGGATTCTCTAGAGGATGCATACAAAGATATAGAATCAGAACCAAAATTAACCGGAAAAATGTTAGCCGGCTCAGTGTTACGTTTACTAAAAGCGCTAACTTTAGATCCACAGCATTGTGTTGGTTGTGGAACAGATGGATGTTCTGTCATGACATCTCAGTCATGTGGTGCAGCTGCAGAAATATCAAAAAAAGCTACATCATGTATTCATTGTGTTTGTACTAACCATGGACTGAACTTGAGTTTATCTAAAACATCCGATGTACAAGCCATAAGAAATGCAATGGGCACTATTAAGCAAACGGCTTCCTTTTTTCGCGCATCGGCCAAAAAGAAAATTAGTGCAAAGAATAATGTTTAAAAATGAAAGTCAAAATTTGAGACAAAATGTCATGCCTTTATGTGAGACACGTTGGGTTGAACGCCATGATTCGATTATCAGTTTTAGACAGTCCCTGCAATATGTTCTAGCTTCTTTAGAAAATATTGCTAATTGGCATGACAGAGAAACATCATCTAAAGCAGAGACGTTGTTATTGGCTTTAACTGATTCTGAATTTTTAATAGCTTTGTACTCAATTGCCGATCCATTAATTCTAACTAAGCCACTAAGCAAAGTTTTACAAACAGAAAATTTAGATTTGGTCGAGGCAGCTCAACATGCTAATAGAGTCATAGATAATCTTCAATCTAGAAGAGAAAATGTTGAGCAAATATTTCATGATATCTTTACGAGAGTTTCTAAAGTTGCAGAGGAACTGAATATTGAATTAAAAATGCCAAGATGTATAGAAAGACAAGTAAATCGTGCAAATATTAAAAGTAACTCATTAGAAGAATATTTCAGGATTGCTATATTTATTCCCATGCTAGATAGTATGATAACAGACATGAAATCAAAATTTGGAACAATTCAAATAGCTATAATGGGTTTGAGTCGTTTGATACCTTCAGTTTTCCTCCGAATAAGTGGTAATGCAGAACAGAATAAAACATGGTTTTTAATTGACCAAGCTGTTACGAAATATAAAAGTTTAATAACAAATTTGACCTCGTATGATGACAACACGGCCATTGAATTTGTACGCAATGAAGAAATGCTCTGGACGCAGTACTGGGTAAAGATGAATTCACAGCCCAAAACGGCCATTGAAGCTCTCGCATTGTGCAATTCCAATCTCTATCCGACAATTCACAGC